TGTGAAGGAAGGGAGGAAAAAGGAGCATGTTAGAGTCAGCATCTGTCAGATGGTGTCTGTTAGCTTAAGATTAGGTATATAAATTTCTAGGAAAACAAACACACTGGATTTGATACCTGGAGCCTTAGAGACTGATTTCTACCTGAAGTAAATGTTTTTATTTGCAGCGTTAAATCTTCAGTGATATACAGCAGTCATGTATAAAACTACTGAACAAGAACATATTGTAGGCCAAAGGGACGAGGATGAGCACTGAAGAGTAGAAATGAAATACAAAAAGGGGAGATAGAAGCAGGTCTGCTTTACCTGAGCGTTGAGAAAGGAGAAACATAACCACAAGAACTGGAGATGAAAATAGTGTGTTACATTTTTGTCCTTCATATAGTGGAATTTTCCAGTTATCTTTAAGAGTAAAATGAAGTTACTGAATCTCAATCTGTTTCAGATCTCAGCATCACTCATGTAAGTCTGGAGCTGTTCCTTCAACTGAGCAATCAGCTTCATACAGATTAACTGAGAAAGGAGTTTAGTCCTAGATTTGATATTTCAGTTTCTGTTTATAGTTGTAAAATCTCCCCTGAAAGTAAGACACATGTTTGGAGGCTTACTCCTCCTTTACACTTGCTTAACTTTTTCATATTAACTTTTTGGCATTTTATCAGTCACTACCTTTTGTTAGTTGTGCGCATTATCATGTTTGGATAGAGGAGTAGTTCATTTATTTTGTAACCAAGAGGCTTAGTTAATAGGAAATATTTCAAAGAAATTAAATACTTGCCCCTTTTAAATAATCTCCTTTTCTTAAAAATATCTAGTATAATAAAAGCTCTGAAAGCTTAATCAGTACAGCATTACTGAAACCATCTTTCAAAATCTTTTAATGTTTTTCACTGTTCCTACTACCGTTCAAGATATCTTCTCCAGTTTGCAAGAAATAATTTCAAAAGCATTGAGCCTTCTAATTATTTTTTTGGGGGGGATTAAGATTACTGTTTGATAACACATTATACTGTAGTCTAAATCTGTTGGGATTTTTAGAAGGATCTTATGTTATGGTACTGCAATGAATGGACTTTGTTTTCATGGTATCATGGAGTCAGGATATTTGGTTGTTTATTTATTTATTTACTTAATGTTAAGACTTGCTAAAACATGTTAGAACTGCATTGTCTGATTTAATTTTTATTGATGGAAGTGAATGGATCACATTCCATTATTCTTTTTGGCAAAGAGTGGTTCATGTTTTAATGTGAAAATATTAGGAAGAATATTACAAGAGGATGCGTGCTGAAAATGTAAACCCAAATGATTACTTTTGGGTGTGTGTTTTTGATTGATTTTCATGTTGTGTGACAGTGCCTTAAGGTCCGCGAAGTTTTCCTGCTTTCTCCATGACAATGAAAAACTTTAGAGGCACCATTACATTGAAGGAGAATGGAAGAGTTGTAGAAGAGCACTCTTGAGTCTTGAGCTGTTAAAGACATTTGCATGCCATCTTTTGTGCTCACATACACTGCAGGGCTATAGCTGACAGGAAGGTGGCTAATGTATAACTTCATGCTCCACCATGCTCCAGTCAATGGAACAGCTTTTGTCAGTGATAGACTTGCAAGTTTATGATGGGAAAGCAGCCTTGCAGCCAGATGGTCTTGGGCATATGTGTTTATGAATAAGTGGCTTTAAGTCACTTTGCCTCCTTTGGAGCTGTGCTGAGCACAGCTTAGATTCAGACAGCTGTGTTTTCAGTGTCATCCTCCTTTCCTGTTCTGTGGCTTGCATCTCTGTTCTGTTTGCTTTGGTTTTTCTACTGAATGTACACGCAAAAGAATGGCTAATACTCCAGCCCTGGAGAATTACAGTGAATGAGAGCATGTGTTTTGCCGCTCTGCAAGCTGCTTAAGACTTAGATATGAGTCCCCAGGAGGAAAAAAGGATTATATCCCTGCTTGTTCCATCTTTAGAATAGACAAACAGGGTATGTATAGATCTTTGACTCCTCTTTTACTATTTCCTGGTATGTATTGGATGCTGATATGTCTTTTCATTTTTAGGCTGAATGCCTGTCAATGGAAGTGGAAGTGAGGCTCATCTGGTAATGAAAGCTCAGACAGGGTCAGAAACTATCCAAACTACCTTTGTAGTCAGCAGCTGGGGTGGCAGTACAACTTTGCAGCGGAGCTGGGAGTGGTTGGGTCAGGCAGAGCTCTCAATATAAAAGTTGTACATGTTCCATAAAGATCTGTGAAAACATGAGTGGCTTGGGGAGAGTGAAATAGGGAACAAAAATGCACTGTGTCTTCTAAAGCTAGAAGTAGGAAGCAGCAGATAAAACCAGCGGACAGGCAGGTATTTGGAACAGGTATCACACACCAGATCACTGAAGTGAGAAATGCTTTTTCATAAGGTGTTGCAAATGTTGATTTCTTCAGAAAGCAACCAGCCGAATTCACAGAGGGTAACTATTAAATGCAAGGATGCTAATCTGCTTAGGATTTCTGGTGCCGTGAAGTGCTGGATGATGGAAGAGCAGTTGTGGGAGGTACCACGGTATGCTTTTCTAGTTTTATACTGTTTCCAGGTGTTTGCTACTGGTTAGTGTTGAAAAAAGATATATGAGGATAGGAATAAGAGGATATTTGATGGGACCTGGTTCAGAAGCCTTTTGCTCTTGTGCCTCTGGAAAGCACACTCAGATTTGAGGTTGCAATGTCAGTTTACTACTGAAAGCTGATGTGATACACGCTGTCACTTAGGACTGCTTTTTGTGCATGCGTTTGATAACACTCCCAGTTTTATGTTTATGCTCTTGATGCAACTTTCATGACATAATGACAAAATTGATGATTAGGCTGTATGGCACAAGGATCGTAGCAAGACGTGTTTCTTATTTTATGTTCTTATTTCATGGTAAAGGTTAGGATTGCTTTTGTTTTCCTTTGTGAGCTAACATGTTAGATTGGAGCATTATAAATGTTTAACAGAGTGACAAGCCACATTTAAACCTCCCAATCTGTGTATTGGGAGGAAAAAACCTGAACAAAACCAAACCCAAAAGAAAAGACAGAAACCATTTCATCTCTTTGCAGTCTTTCTGAACACAAAATGTAAAAGTCAAATATAATGTCTAATGGTAGATTGGTAAACAGGATTATTGCCTGGATGAAGTCCTCAAGTATTCCCCCCATTTTATTTTGCTCTGTAATGATTCTAACAGCATCTCTCAGAAGGACCAATATATGCAGCATTTTCTAGTATTGCTTAAAATGTGGATTGTATATCTGTTGTTATTTATTTACCTTGCCCCACTTTTGTTTATTCCTATTTTAGCTTTCTAATTTGCAATTCAGCTTCTTTAGCCTTGGAAGCTATTGAATATTTCACTGTGCCTTAAATGATTCTGTATTTTTAGACAAAATGGAAGCACAGTGTGCTATAGGGGCAGCCTGTATAATAGTGTCTTTTTTCTGAGTTAGTCTCATGACATTGTTAAGACTCAGCACTGCATTTAAAGAGTCAGTGTTCTCATTTAGCTTTCTTAGTCTGTGATTAAATGGGAGTTGTTGTTTGTTTCACTATAAGTTGGCTGACAAAAGCTAAATCTGTCACAGGTGCTACAATTTTGTATCAGAAAATTTGCTTTCCAAATACTAATTATTCCCAAAGTATCTTACTTCACACAAAGCACAGATAACACAGTCAGCAAATTTGTCCTAGTTTCATCATTGTGCAGTAAATTAGGGTTTTTCTTCTACCATTGTGTAAAGTGAAGATGGTAGAAATCCAATTGTAGGAGAACCAGTTGATGTACAACCTCTGATCTGTGTTTTTCACTTAATTCTCCCAATCAAATGCTTGAAATGTATGTTATTCAAATAATCACTGCTGAATTTCACTTTTGTAACTGAATGAATGTTGTCAAGGGACATGGGATAATGGGAAAGAGCAGTGTTGTCTCTCCAGAAGTCATTTTAAAAAGCAAGTATTTTATGCTTGAAAGACCTAGACCCAAGCTGGTAATATGCTTAAACTATTAATTTTGGAAGTTATTGTAATATGATGGAAGCTTTTTGGGAATTATCTTTCTGGTTATTATGGGAGAAGAATGGACCTTCAGTTATTGAAACTGGTGGAATAAGTGAAAGTATTCATTTTACAACCTCCAGTCTCCTCAGATTGAGTCACAGATGGCTTGAAAACACACATGCAGATTCCTGTGCACAAGCATGGAGTTGGATTCCTGTCACGTGTCCTCCACTGTTCCCTGTTGTGGAGAGCCTTTGTGATAACCTGTTGCAACCCTAGTTGCCAGGATGATGTATTTTGACACTGAAGGGCCAGGATCTCCCTAGATAAGAGTTTGGAGTTCAGATGGACTATTGCTCAGTTAAATCTTCTGTAATGAATCCAACTGTCATCCAAGTGCACAAATTTTTGACACTAGACAAAACAGAATGGCCTGCTAAAATAGCAGCTGGATCTGTGTTTCAGCAGCTTCTCCTTTCATTGCCAAGAATTACCTAGGAACCTTTCCCAAGATTAGATGTACAGTCTAAATATATATTGGTCTCAGAGCAGCACTGATGGCAGCTCTGTACTGATTGCCTTGTTGATTGAAAACTTAATTAGGGAGAAATAGCTATCTCTGGCCTTTACATCCCTGCTTTTTTCTTGTTCTTCCCTGTACAACACACACACATTTGTGTCTAAATATATATATATATATATATATATATATATGGTATTTAGCTTATAGAATGACTTACACAGAAAAGGAAGAGCATTTAAAGTTGTAAATGAAATTTTTAGCAACTATTTTTGCATTGCAAAGTAGCTTAAGAAACTGTTTATTTATTCCTTAGGATGAACATATTGCGTATTTGTATATTTCTAATAAATGCAAACATAGATGTGATTTAACTCCTTATAACAGTGATGCACACCTCTAGTTGTTTGGCCTATGTATTGTAATACTGATTTTTGTTTTTATTTTATTTCTGTAGGACTATTTAACCATTCACAAGTATGGCAATGCAGCCAGAAATGATCTTTGGAACACATTGTCAAAGGTAAAATACTTTAATCCATTGCACTGAGGGAGAAATAGGAATATGCTATGGCGGTTTTCTCGGTGAGTTCAGGAGTGAATAGTGCATATTGAGATCTTCAAACCACAGAGCAAATATCAAAACTGATGCAAAGAAATTCCATTTGAGTTAACCTAGTGGCAACATTAAAAATAGGAGTTCTGCAGCATTTCTGTACTTTGTTATGTTAGAATATATTTCCCTGCATGTGCTATGTCGCTGATGTGCAGTGAAAGAATCTCTCAGTGACTTCAGTGGCAGCACACTGAGACCCGTAAGCTGAAAAGCACATGAAAGTGTTGAGCTTTGGCATTTCCATCACATGTGTTTGTGATTTTGTATGGAGTTAAGATTTTTGTAAAGGACAAAAATATTAAAGCTTCAAAGTATGATGTAAACAGAGAACTATTTACTGCAATATTTGGCATGCTGTAGAGACTTATATATCCAGGCTTGGCTTGAGTTCTAGAACCTGGTCTAGGGCTCCACAACGGTTCATCATTTTTAAGATGAGCAAGGTGTCCCTGAATTTCTCTCCTATGGGATTAGTCTGAGCTAATCTGAGTCTTCCCCAGAAATAGACTGAGTGGAGGGCAATGTGGAGTACAGTCAGAGTTTTGGCACAGGTACCAGTTCAAGCCATACAAAACATGACAATCTAGTTTTAACTATTGACACCAAAGCTAGGATTTAGCTGAAGATCAAGACAAATAGACAAGCAGGTATATATATGTAAACTAAGTGTCCTAGATCCTGTTCTTCTCACTGGGTCTTCAGTTGCTGATTCACAGACTTCTAACAACTTTTACCTTAATTTATCCTACCTGGCTTCCAGCTGCCACATGAGAAGCATGTCTGTTGTAGATACAATAATTCTGAAAGAATGTGTTGAATATTTTAGGATGTGTCATTTGACACTAGTGAACAGGAACAACTGGAATCCCAGAAATCTAGTCAATATAGTCAGCAGAGCTTAGAGAGTAATTCAGTTGGCTAGCCACTACATGATTATTTCATAATAAGCCTGAACCACTGACTGTTGACTAGAGACTTGAGATAATTGTTCAAATATAGGCAACTAGTGCCAGATTAGGTACAGTATGATGTTTAAGACATTCAGGTGTGTCTAACCAATTTAGCATAAGATACATGGGGAAATCTCTGCTCTTCTGGAGTGGCAGATAAAGGTCAAATGTCATTATTTGCCTACATGTGGGCAACTGAACCAAGTCCTATGTCTGTACTGACTGCTAATGAGAGTTGAGACAAGTAACATACAGTCAGGCTTTAAAATCTGTGTCTTAATCTGTAGCTGAATGTCACTGCATTCAACAAATAAGAAATCTTTCTTTCCTTCCTCTGTTAAAACCTCTGGGACAGTTCTGGGCGATGGGAGGTCGGAGGAATGAATGTTGTCATGAAAGAGCAACAGAATCTGCAGCTAATGAAGTGGAACAAGAATTAGACTGTATTCTGGTCCATAACCACTGTAGCTGTACTGTATGCTCTATCTACTGTTGGAGCTGATAATTCTGTTTGCCTCAGTTGTAAATGCATTTGTTGCCAGCCCCTTTGTTCCTAAGGCAGTGCAACTGCAGCTTCAGTTCTGAAGACATCTTCTGCTTGAATTCATCAGAGGTTACTCAGTCTGTGATCTTGGACTGTTCGACAGCAAGGAGCATGTCTGGCGCTGAAGAACAAATGATGCCTCTTTCTCCTCATATGCAGTCTCATCTCCCATGATGCTATAGTATCTCTTTGTGTTTCAGATGAAAATCCACTTGTAAAACAGCATTTTTATTGACATATGGAATCAAATATGAAAACATTAATCCTCCATGTGTTCTAACAGGTGCAGTTTATGAAGCAGCAGTGGATATATTGGTATACATAGCCTCATTTTGGACATAAGGGACAGTATTTTCAAATAACTGGTCATTTTGTTTTTCAGAACAGAGAAGCCCTGTATTTTTAGAAATTAAGGCCTTTCAAATATGCCTTTTGTAGGTGCCTAGATCAGCTAGCACTGTGTCTTTTTTAACCTTAGCTGGTTAAGAATAGCTACCCAGTATTTCTGTGGGTCTTGTTAATATCTGGTAAAGCAGGTTATTTCTTCTGTTTCAGCAGAAGTACTTGAATAATGTGGAAAATATGACTTTCTGACTGTCACTCTCCTCTCTGTTTAGACTACTCAGTATTTATTTTTAAGATACACAGAGCCTTAAGTTCGATTATGTAGTGTGTGTGTGTTGGGTGTAAGTGTGTGTGTGTATCTGTATACATGTGTGTATACAGGTTATTTTACCCTCCAAAACCAGTTTTGATCCTGGGGGCAAAAAAAAAAACCCAAGGTTTTGCGTATTGATACTGCTTCAGTGTATTGAAACTTTTTTTTTTTTTTTTCCAAGGCTTTAAAAAGGGTTGGAAAATCTGTAAATATCCAAGAGGTAATGGATCAGTGGACACTACAGATGGGTTATCCTGTTATCACTATCTTGGGAAATGAAACTACAGACAACATCATAGTCATCTCCCAAGAGCGTTTTGTTTATGACAGTGATACTAAACCCAAGGATCCTGCCCGTGGGGACAGCAGGTACTTGTATTTCTCAATTACTGTCTTTCAAGATGCTGTAGTTGTTTAAGTAAGTGCTTTATATGTGTATTTTTATGCAAATAGTTTTTTTAGAAATCTGAGCTTTTCTTGGGATACATAGCGTGTGGTGATACTTTAATTTGAACTCACATAAAGTTGAGGATAATTAAAAGAATTGGAAAAAAAAACCAAACCAATTGCATCCTGACAATTCTCTGTGTCAGTGTCTTGCATCACTCATCTGTTTCCTCCCCTTTTCTTTTGATTTTGTCACACTCCATGAAGTAATTTGGAATGTGATTGGAAGGTCTGATAGTTCTTAAGAAATTCTTTGGAGCGGACCTCTCAATGCTCATACATTGAGTAGGCAGATGTAAATTTATGTTAACTACAGACCTTGCGTGACTTGGGAAGGAGTCAGGAGCTGAACTGGACCTCTGTAGAAGGCAGGGGGTTCCAGTTCTTTCATTTTTGGAGGCAGCTGAACGGGTCCTATAGGAGCTGTTACACTGGCTGAAATCAGCATCTCTGTCTCTACCCCTTTTCCATTTATTAGATTGTTTTGTTCCTGCTTCCAGCTGACTCTATACACTTCCTTCATCCCAAAGACAAACTGACATTCCTGTCTGATCCTGGGAATCCTCATTGTTTCAAGCAGTTTTGACATTATAATTTAAGGCCAAGAGTAGCTATTGCTAGCTGATGCTAGAGGATTTCAAGATGGCTTTTGAAGTTTCTGTGTTGACCTGTTCATGCTCAGTGTGAAAGAGGGCACACTATTAACCTGGAATATTCTGTGTTTGTCCAGTAGATTTAAATTGTTTAAAAGTGAAATTTAATACAAAATTTTGATTGACATATCTGGAGCTTGTAGAATATTCCTGTTGAGGAAGGCCTAAAATGATAATAAAATTTACTGGAAAGTGTTTAGAAGTTCATTATCTTTTTTAGAACATGAACAGTATGGAACTCAAACATGACACAGAGTAAACAGTTGTTTTTCTGGCTGTATTGGAACAAACTAACAGGGTATTAAGCATCTGTCTAAATTCTGGGCTGAAATTAGTTCCTGTGTGAAAAAGAGATTAAACAACTGAATGTGGACTATTGGAAGTGTTCATGACTCACAGCTCAGTACAGTAGGAGAGAAATTCTCCCTTCCTGTCTTGAAATTTTTTTTGTGCAGGTTTATATATGTGTAATGGAAAGTGAGTGGACTTTACTACTCAGAACAGCAGTTATTATTTTTTTGATTTACTAAAACAGATATGTTAAGCCTTCTAAGTATTGTTGAGACTTTTAAAAATAGATTTTCTAGGTATTCAATATAAATTAAAGTAACTGTTATTTAATGTATGAGTAAAGACTACTGGGTGTGTAAATAATACCAGGGTGATATGGTGAGTTGACCCTGGCTGGATGACAGGTGCCCACCAAACCTGCTCTATCGCTGCCTGCCTCAGCTGAGCTGGGGAGAGAAAATATGATGAAAGACTCATGAGCTAAGGACAAGGAGAGACCACTCACCAGGTACCATCATAGAAAAAACAGACTCAAGTTGGAGGGCTGGAGGGGGAGAAATTATTACCAATCAAATCAGAGAAAGGTACTGCATAAATAAACAAAAATCTTAATTTCCCCATACCTCTCCCTCTTTCCAGGCTTAATTTCACTCCTGATTTTCTCTACCTTGTTCCCTCCAACAGTGCAGGGGAAGAAAAATGGAGCCTGTGGTCAGTTCATCACACGTCTCTGCCCTTCCTTCCTCCTCAGGTGGAGGGCTTTTGCTACAGCATGGTGTCCCTCCAAAAGGAGACAGTCCTTCACAAACTGCTCCATCATGAGTCTTTCCTACTGGCTGCAGTTCTTCACGAACTGCTCCAGTGTGGGTCCCTTCTTCAGGGTGCAATCCTTCAGGAACAGGTTGCTCTACTGTAGGGTCCTGCACAGGCTGCAGGTGGATCTCTGTTCGTCCGTGGACCTCCATGGACTGGAGGGTCACATCATGTCTTAGCATGGGCTGCACCGGGGGCTGCAGGGAAATTTCTGCTCCAGTGCCTGGAGCACCTCCTGCTCCTCCTTCTGCACTGACCTTGGTGTCTGCAGGACTGTTTCTCCTTTCTCCAACTGCTCTTTCCAGCAGTTTTTTTCCCCATGTTACCTCAGAAGTGACTGATGGGGCTTGGCCAGCAGTGGGTCTCTCCTGGAGCTGGCACTAGCTTTGCTGAACATGAGGGAAGCTTCTGTTAGCTTCTCACAGAAGCCACCCCTGTAACGCACCAAAACCTTGCCATCAAACCCAATACAGGTGAGAATTAGACTTAGTTTTATTTTCATACATGACATGAATTTGTAATTCAAACTGTATGTTGTCATGTGTGGAATGGCCAGGGCAATACCACCAGGGCAAATTCTTCTGGGTTTCTTAGGAGATTTTGTTCACAGATTTTATTACAATTCTTGTTTCTAAACATTGGAAATAAGATTTAGTGCTAGAGAGGGTACATGTGAGCCCTGCCAGGAATTTAGTATTCTAACAGGCAGTGCAGTACATATATGTACAGGTCTCTTCCCCCTTTGGATTGTTTGTTTTCTATTCTTCCATTTCCTTTTAAGCACAAACAGAAAAGAAACCCTTTGCTCAAGGAAGGCTTTACAGATGGGTTATTTACTCCAGCCAGTTAGCAGACAGAGATAATTTGCCACTTCCCTGGTGAAATTATTTGAGAGTCATGTTACATAAGTATAAATACCAAAGAACAGGAACCATATATATTTACCTAAAGGGGAAACTTACCTATGCCATTCACCTTTCAAAAATTGTCCATCAACTTACATTAGTCCTATGGCTTAGTTATAAACTGGTGTCTGAGTGTTCTAACACTGACCATGCAATTCGTTCATGCACTGCCCACAGGCACATGTGGCTGGGTCTGCACAATGGCCATGTGTCAATAATACCCTTTCATGCCATCAAATTAACTAAAAAACAAGCTTCAGATACTGAGAATCAAGTTAATCTTTTAGTTAGTAGTGACCTAGATATTTTTCAGTTGTTTGGCTTTTTCATTTCTTTTTTTTCCCACTGCTGACGTGACTATTGCTTCAGTTATTGTGGAAGCAGTAGACAGGGAAAATCACATTAGTGTGTGGTCATTTCATAATTTGAGATGCATTACTCTGCCTTGGTTTTTAATATTGAAAGAGCTGAACTTTGTATGACATGATACAGTTTTTCTGCAGATTCACCAAGGGGAGTGTTAGCTCTGTTGCACAGTGCAGTGTTTTGGCTCATTCTGTGGGTGGCTTTGGTCAGGAAGTTGGCAAAGTTTTACTGATGTCTGCTGATTATATATATATATATATATATATGATCAGCATGCAGGTTTTGTGGGTGTTACAGATCAGTGGCCTAATTCACATTCTAATAAAGTTGGTGCTTCCTCCCCTGCATGACCCATGAATTTAGGCGTTGGACTCATGTCTCCCTGGGGAGCCATAATGGGCACTGTAAATAACGGAGAGCAAATGCTATTTATGCCACATCTGAGGCCGTGCTCTTGCAGGGCAGGCAACATTGGCTTCCTTAGGGTAGTTTATCTATGGATTAATCGTGATGATCATTCTAAACACCATAAGAAGTAGATCTGCACAAAACACAGAAAAATGTTCTGGTCCAGGCATTTCCAGGAGTTTATCATCTAAACAGACAACACAGTACACACTGGAAGGCTCTAGGGAAGGCTCTTAAAGCATCCATCTACCCTGTAGTCTTTTGTTATCCAGAGGTGGGGCTGTAGTTTGGTATGGCACAGCAATAAATGTCAATTCTATTGCTTTGAAAATGATGAGGAGTTTAAATTTTTGGTTCAGATGCTGTCCAGGCAAGTTTAGCTTTGCCTTACTGTAGAAAGAGTCACTTCAGAGTAGGTCTTTCAAACGTATCTATTGCATAAGAAATGTAAATAAAGAGGCAACTGAATACTTTGGAACCATTCTGGTTTTATAAAATGTCTGTGCTTTGCTTTATGCTGCTTATTTATGCAGCAATTAACTGTTAAAAATGAAGTGTGAAGCTGCATATTTAATTTTTAACTCTGAAATCATGTAGAGGAACACAGAAGCAGCAAGCAGATTTTTCTAAATGATAAATGATAAAAGTGAAAATTGTTGATACCTTTGGCAGTGGTTGATGCCTAGTACATTACTGTAAGTGTTTTTAATTCTTCTACAGAAGAGAATGATTACACATTTTCCAATCTCCCGTATATTTGTGCTCTTTGTCATTATACCTGAAGAAAAATGTGTTTCAAAAGCCGTACATATACAAACTGTGATTTATTTCTGTGCATACAATCAACTGTATGGCTTGCAAAGCTCTAACATTTGGACTGAAATTATAGAAGGGACAGAATTTCACTTCTTTGTAAACTGAACATAGATTTTTACTTGGCACTTATGCCTTCACATGACCCATAGTTCTTATTTTATGAGAAAATAAAACTAACAATGGCAGACACTGTTTCTAGAAACATCATTCCTTGGAAGGGCCAAAATCACCACCTTTTATCTGAGTGCCAAAGCCTGTGGTTGGTGTAATGTTCCAGTAGCAATTTCAGCTTATGCAAGCAAAACTTTAAAACTCCTATTACAACTGTATAATTCATATTCTATCCCTGTATAACAACCCTTTAGTTAAGTGTAGTTTGGTCCTGGACTCCTGTACCTGTATACCTCTGTGAGAATAGATTATGCCCTTATTTTATAAGGCTCCAGGGGAGAAGGCGATATTCCATCTGACAGGGTTCAGTGGGTTTCCCTGCTTACAGAAAATGATGATTTTAAGGCAGTAGTCTCATCCATCATTACAAAACAGCTCTCAGATATGACAAAAATCTTATGAAAAATAATCTGTGGTCTAGACAATAAACTAACCAGTTTTGAGGAAATCCATAAACCTTTTATATACTATATTAAAGAGCAGACCGAAGCTTTCTGGG